TCTGAGCGTCTGTCTGGCAAGCACAGGGACTTGGGTTCAATCCCCGGTATGGCATGCCATGCTGGCCCTGGAATCCTGGGTGTGCCAGACTGGCCGCCAAAACCAGGTATGGTGCACGCCTGTAATTCTAGTGCTGGGGAGGCTGGGAAAGGAGGCTCACGATGAGTCCAAGCTGTGTACCAAATAAATAAATAAATGAAAAAAAGACTTTAAAAAAACAATAGTGTCTATCTAAGAAGCTGAGTATTTCAGAATATTGCTTTATTAGCAGAAGAAAGGAAGGTAGGTGCCTGGGCTATAGCTTAGTGGTACAGCATCTGCCTGGCAAGTGCAAGGTCCTGAGTTTGATTCCTGGTCCTGCTCCCCCCTCCCACCCTTTCCCATCTCAGCTCTCCACCCCCCGCAAAGAAAAAATGAAATGAAGGTAGTTTGGTTTGAGGAATGTTTGCTTTAGGTTATGGTACAACCAATTCAACCTTCCTTCTGCCCTGTAGCACATCTGGGATGCTTGAATCTGCCAGGTTCTCTTCTAGACTATGAGGATAAGGGTGTCTTGAATTTCTATGCGTATATGTACAAAAGAAGAAAAGCTAGAGTCACAAACCCCATGTGCTCATTCATGCGCCTGACGCACATTAATAATGAACAACATTCTGAGGCTCTTGTTGAAAGGAGAGGACAAGGACCTCTAAAATGTTCAGCTCTTTTTTCCAGTGAGAAAGCACAGGAAGAGGTATGGGGAGCTTGTCCAGTGCTCCTGGGTCCTGACTTGAGGAATGAGAGCAATGCAAGTTTTTGAGTCAGTCCTGGCAGACTTAGTAGGAAAAGGAGTCTTGGACCATTTGAGTGACGGCTTTTCTTGGCCTCTGTGTCCCACGTATAAAGACTCCAGAAGAGCTCTGAAGTTCCTCGGGCCTTCACTAAGTTCTTTTATTTCTCCCGGAAGTGTGGAGATGTACAGAAGAAGAAGGGAGAGATTGTGTCCAAGAGTGTCTAGATTTTGATAGTGTAGTAAACAGTCTACTTAGGTGTATGTGTAATTAACTTTTTTAGGATCTGAAACATGAAGCTGAGAGGATTAACAATATAAATATACTTGTTTGCACACCTGGCCGGCTTCTTCAGCACATGGATGAAACAATATGCTTCCATGCCACCGATCTACAGATGCTAGGTAAGTTTTAGGGTTTCTAAGGAGAAAATGTTCATAGGAGAGAGCCCTCATATGTTTGTTTGTTTGTTTATTTATTTATTTATTCATGTCGTGGTACC